TAGCAGCTACAGAGTTCCTTTTGTCTCCTCCTCAAACCTGCTACAATAACAAATAAAGAACATGCACTAGAACATGGGGCTTTCGTGGTGTTTGTTGGCCATATGCTATAGCTCCTTACAGCTATCTGTGTATGCTTCAAGTTGTCTTTTTCATGAAGTCTATTTTTAGGGCTCTTTTATGTACTTTATTCTATCTCTTTATGGACTGTAAACACCCCAGGGACAGAAAGAAGCCTATTGATTACAGTGTTTCTTTTCTATAACATTGCTTCTATAACACAGTTGATAGCCAATAAAAGATATTTAATGAAAATTGAGCACGGGCAATCACAATATGTGAAGCACTACGTAAACATACTGTAAAGAGTTATTTCTTTTAAAGACGTCACTTTAAAGTTTAAAAAATAGGGTTTAAACTTAAGAAAATTCCCCCCAAATGTATTTTTTAACCTCCTATAATACTATGGTTAACTTTTAGAAAATCTGCTCATTTTAAATGTGTTGATTTCATCAATCTCCTTGCCATTTGGAATTATCAGGACCCAAGAGGTTTATAAACAAGGAATTAGTGGCTTTGCTTTGTGGCTTTGATGCATGGAGACAGTGTTTCAAAGCGGTGTGCCTATTAGCATCTAATTATATAAACCTGCTTTATTACATCAGTATCAAACTGGCTCAAGAAGAGAAGACAGTGGTGATTAGAGATGTGTTTTTAAAAGCTTTTTCCTGGAGAAGTGGCTCTTTGTTTTAACAAGATGAATGGGCTGCCTAACTGCTAACATATGTGAGAGGGGTTAGGGTGTGGGGTAGAGTGGTGTTGTACAAAGCAAACCTGATTCCACATCCCTGAGAAACTATGGGGCAACAATTACTTACTAGTATAGTGTTTGTAGCTGGCATTGTAGTAGGCTCTGGGGATACAAGAGTGAATAAGATACAGTCCTTGTCCTCAAGGAGCATGAAGTCTAATACAGTGGTTTTGAATTTGGCTTTAAATTATAATAATCTAGGATGCTTTTTAAAAAAGAATTCCAGTGTCTCGGCCTTACCCAAACTGATTAAAACCAAAATCTCTAGGGGCAAGACCCAGGAATCAGTATTTTTTAAAAGTTCTCAGATTAACTCTAAAGTACAATCAGGATAGAAAACCTCTGTTTAGTAGGAAAGAAAAAAGAATAAAAGGAATAAGTGCCATATTGGGGGTAACAGAAGAATGCCCCCCAACCCAGACTTAACCTGTCAAAAAAGTTTCCCTGGATGAGGGACTTTCTGGCTGAGTCCTGCAGAACAGTGTTAGGCATATGAAGAAGAGAAGGAAATTTCAACAGAGGAAGCAGAATGTGTAAAAGCCTGGGATGGAAAGAGAGCACAGTGCTGTAAAGTAGCACTACCCAAACTTCAGTATGCAGACAAATCACCTAATGATGTTGTTGAAATGTTGATTCTGATTCAGTAAGTCTGGAGTAGGGCTGAGAGTCTGCATTTGTAACAGGATTCCCAGGGATCCCATTGCTGCTGCTCTAGCACTAGCAAAAAAGTATAATTGGAACATAGGTATGAGAAGCAGGCTAGCAAAAATGTCCTAGAAAGGTCAGCCAGGACTAGATCCAGACAACTTACGCCAAGGAGCTTAGACTTGATTCTAGACTTTATCCCTACGGCAATAGAGAGCACCGATAAGACAAAGAGAAATAGAATCAGATTTGCATTTTAGAAAGATTGCTCTGGATGCCATAACAGAGAGGTCAAACAAAACTAAAGGTGAGTGTTCAAAAAGGACAGTGTTGCAGAAATCCAGGAATAGATGATGTGGCCTGAACTACAAAAGTAGAAGTGGGGATGAAGAAAAGTAGAGTCCTATAAATTATGTTGGTTAAGGGGTAGAGGGATGGGAAAGTTGAGGGTGATTTCTGTATCAATTTGTGTTCTTTGTTGCAAACAGTAGATTTCATTCTGGCTGGTTT